ATTGAAGGGGGTCTCGGGTCGCTGAATCAGATCCCGCTTTCGAAGCGCCGCGTCCGCGAGGCTCGACGCCGTCTCCGGAAGCACCTCGCGCTCCGTCCGCGTGCTCGAGGCTTCGACGAAGTAAGCCTGCCACCAGGGACAGCGGCAGTTCCCTCTGGGCCCGCGTGCGCCGCCAAGGAAGGAGAAGCTAAAGCGCTTGGCGGCGCCGGGATGTTCCGAACCAGGCACTGAAAATCACGTCGTTGATTCCCCGACGTGGCCGGCGGCCCCGGGCGGATGGGCGCCGGCAGCGTGGGGCGTCCGAAGACGCGTTCCTGCAAGCCGAAACTGACGGCGCCCGCGCTACGACAATTCTCCCGTCTTCGTGGCGCCACCCAAAAACTCGCCGGTCCAGCCAGGATTCGCATGGAAATTGCGCAGTGGAAACAAGTTTCACGGCCTCCGTCACGCGCGGCGCGCGCGGTTTTTCCACGCGCGCCGTCTCCTCATAGAGCGCGGCTTCTAGCGGTCCACGCGGGCCCGCGCCTGTTTCTTCGCTTCAAAGACGGCCGCCTCACAGGGTGCGCGGGGCCCCGCGTCGACGACGCAATGTTGGCAGGGGAAGGAACGCTTTGGAATGTCATCGATGCGCCGCCCCTCCAGTGGGGCACCCAACAGACAATGGACATCGCGTTCTGCGGGTTGCAAATTCCATCCCAGCTTGCTTATATATTTCAGGATCAGAAAGATTGATGTCGTTCCCTAACGTCGACTTCCGCGCCACCTAACCGAGTCCGACAACCCAGCGCTCAAGTGAGACAGAACATGTCCGGTGAACGCATCAGGTTTCCGTCGCGGCGCCCTTGCGCTAGCTCGACCGCGTCCAAAGTGCAGTCTGCAACAGCGCCCACCCTCCTTGGAGCCAACCAGGACGCCACATGATTGAGAGGGGAGGATGTGTTTTTGTATTCTGGACTCGTGGATCCTTCCAAAATCTGCGTGTGCACGTGCGGCGATTTGTCCAGGGGTAAGCCGCCGCAGCCAGGCATGACCACATCCGTCGGAGGAGCGATCCCCCATGGCGCGTGCCCCATCGTGCGCGCTTCTCTAAACCACTGGACTTCCAAGAAGCGGGCGAGGGCGAGCAGCTCCACGATGGCCACTGAAAGCCTTGCTGTCGGAAGTGCGCTTGATGTACAACGCGCGACGCGCAGGAATATTCAAGAGGTACTGTAGTACTGGATCTCAACAGAACCACCTGCCAGACTCCTCTTGACTGATTCGTGGTCTCTTGCCACGAATACGTCCTCCACCACGCCGCACATCACGGAAGAAAACCAGACTCAATCCCTGAGTTGCAGGAGGGGTGCGTGCGTAGGTTGGCAAAGCACTGTCAACAATAATGATTTGTCATGGGTGCCGGATGGCAGTATGGTCGGTGTGATCCACACGCCAAGCCGGACGGCAATCCATCGAAGAGCCTCGATGCAATCAGACCATGTTCGATCGATTTGCGCTCGGCGGCAAAACTGACGCCCCCTGCTTCATGCTACCAGTCGCAACCCGTTTTGGCTCATGACGTGCGGCCATGCTGTAGCCTCCCGGCCAGCTGAAAGCTGAAGTCCGCGATGATTGCTCCGCCCCAGCCCACTGCGGCGCCAGGGACCACGAGCAAGGCGTCTGCACTGGCACCTCTGCCGTGCCGGCAGCCGCCAACAGTGCCGACACCGCCGATCGATCATCAGCCTGCAGCTGTGCCAGCTCGCCTGCGCAGTGCGATCGAGCACTAGTTGGTCACAAAGAATCCCCAGACTTTTCGTGCCGAGGCGCCCGCACTTAGCTGGGCACAGGGCCACCAAGACCTCGATCGGCCAGAACAGGCCGACAGGGCCGTGAGCCTCGTGAGGCACCAAATGCACGCGCAGCAGAAGGGTAATATCCTGACAGACGGGCTGGCGCCGGACAAGCAGTTTCGGGGAAGTGGTGCGCCTCGGAAGGAGCAGCGTCACAACGTCTATCGCCGCCGAGATGTGGATTCTTGCGGACACTGGTTGCCACCTCGCCTACGCCGGGACCACGAGAGATCCTAGAAACAACGTGTCCAGATTAGGACGAAGGGCGCAGACAGGGCTCGGCAGGAGAGACCCATGACCCCACAGAGGGCACCCAAGTCACCCGGTTCGCATGCCGAGGGGACCTCATCTTCTTTCAGTCGGGCTCCGGCGGGGGGGACGAAGCCAGGTCCTTCGCTGCTCGTTGCGTCTCCGACTCCAAGCTCCGACTCAAGCCCTGCAGAGCTTATAGCTGCGACGGCAACGCCAAAGGGGGGACCACGAGCGAGCCCGAAGAAAACCGCGCTAACCACAAAGCCTCCGATTGGGAAGCGAAAGACTGGCACGGCGACTTCTCGAAGACCACAGGCTGCCTGGAACTGAGACTCTCCACAGACCCCAACCTGAGACGCAGGCCAAAAAATCCAAGCAGACGCAGGAAGCGCACTGACAACCAGTATGCCCCCCCCCCAAAAAAAACCTCATATCTGCAGCGGAAAAGATTGCGAAGACTGCCGCGTGCTGAACTGAGCCTACTGTTGTGCAGCACCTTACAAATAATGGAGAAGTTGTCAACCGTCCAGCTTCCACCATTGAGTTGCTTCATCTTCCTCTCGTCTTGTCTTGTCTGTCCTGGTCCCCCATCTCACCTTATGCCCTTGCGTCCGCTGCCGTTTAGGGTCCTTGAGCCAGGGCGCCCGCAGAGGGGCAACATATGTCGATCCCGATCCGCTCCGACTAAATCCAAATCGACACCATGGGGCGGTCCCGGGGGGGTTGGGGGGGGAGGGGGGGGGAACGCAGATATGGATTCCTCCCTTGGGGTCCCCAGGCCTCAGAAAGTACCAAGACAGGCCATGAGTGCCCCGAGAGGCCTTCGAGACAGTCCAAGAGGGCACCCAATTTCCAAACGATCGGCCCAACACGCCCTCCAGACTGCCCAAGAGGCCTCCAAGGCGCCCCGAGGAGCCTCCAAGAGCACTCCCGACAGGGTACCAAGAGGAAGCACACATTGATGTGTCTTCTTCTTCTGATTTGAAAAAAACATTGGGTGCTCTCGCCTTTTATTTCGTCCCGCCGCTCCAAGACGGCCCAGGAGGCCTCCAAGAGGGCCCAAAAAACAGCCCGATAGGACCCCAAGACAGCCCGAAACGCCTCCAAGACTGGCGAAGAGGCCCCCAAGACGGCTCCAAGAGCGTGCCCAGACGGGGGACCCGAACGGACATTTCGAGCCTTGGGCCCTAAGACGTTCACACGAGGTCCCAAGGAGAGTCCCAAGAGGCCCCAAGAGGCCCACAAGAGGTCCCAAGGAAGCCCGAAGAGACCCCCTAAGAGGCTCCCACGAGTCCCCCAAGAGGCTCCAAAGAGGCCCCAAAATTCCTCCCAAGAGGCCCCGAGAGCCTTCCGAAGAGACCCCGAGAAGCAATCCCACGTCAGCCACGTTGTCGTCGCCGCCGCCGCCGTTGTCATCGTCGTCCCCCTTCAGGGTCGGCGGCACTGGCCGTAAGGCCTTCGCACTAAGTAGTACCGCGCTCTGTTATGGTTTTTCTAAGTATGGAATGCACTGTGCTGCAATGCGGCTCGATGTTACTGTGTATATATATATATATATGTATAATTCCATGGTGTGGTATGGTTGGCTCTGTTATACCATGATGTGTCACGTGATGATGTGGTATACGATGGTATGGTATGTGGTGATATGTCCTGTTGCGTATGCCCCGCTATGTCATAGCATGCGTGTTGTGATTACGGCGTGCTGTGTAAACATATGCCACTTGCATGGTCATACATAACGCTACGCTATGTTATGGTATGCTGCGTGGTGACATTATTGTCATTCGGTTGTGTGATGTTTGCTCCGTGTTGTGTGCTCCACTTTGTCGTAACCTGCTCTGCTAAGCAAGTACACTCTGTCCTGCGATGCTGTGTATGTGTTCGGTCTACCCTGTAATGTCATGCTCTACTTTGTCCTGTCGTGTTATAGTGTGCTCAGTTCTGTCAGGTTCTGTCGTGTTCGTCAGCGGCGCGAGGCGGGAGTCTCGGGAGACTCTCGGTGGACCTTCGGATCTGGCGGCCGCGGTATGCAGAGTGGGCGGGTCGCGCGAGGCGGATGTCTCGGGGGACGCTCGGTGTACCTTGGGATCTGGCGGCCGCGGTATGACGAACAGGCGGGTCGGGAGGCCTGCTCGTAAAATCTAACAGCCCCAACCAGTCGGGGGGGGAAAACAACGGCTCCATGTAAAAGAGAAACCTCCTCCTCCTCCTCCTCCTCCTCCTCCTCCTCCTCCTCCTCCTCCTCCTCCTCCTCCTCCTCCTCCTCCTCCTCCTCCTCCTCCCCCTCCTCCCCCTCCTCCCCCTCCTCCCCCTCCTCCTCCTCCTCCCCCTCCTCCTTCGCCTTCTCCCGAGAGCCCGGTGCTGAGCACACGTCGGGACATCGCACATGTCTTGGGCCCGCGCCGCAACAAAACAGAATGGCACGCTGGCAAGCTTTCTCGGCGGCCGTCGGCCTCTGGGGGCCCCCGCCCCGCCCCGGGCCGTCAAACCACGACTCGGAACGAACAGCCCGTATGCCCAGGAAGGGGCCACGAAGTGACAAACAAATCATAAAGAAGCACACGTATATATACACATATACATCTATGATATTTCTATATGCATATATATATATATATATATGAGTATATGTATGTGTTTATATATGTATCTATGTATATATGTATCTATGTATCTATGTCTGTCTGTCTGTCTGTCTGTCTGTCTGTCTGTCTGTCTGTCTGTCTGTCTGTGTGTATGTATGTATGTATGTATGTATGTATGTATGTATGTATGTATGTATGTATGTGTACATGTATGTGTATATATATATATATACATATGTGTATATCCATGTGTATATGTATACACAAAAACGCACACGGCGCTGGATGTCTGGGGCCCTGCGGGCTTTCGCCGCTCGCCCCGCCGCACCCGAGGCTCGTGGGCAGCAGGGGACCTCGGGCTGCCGCTGCTGGCGCGGACCAGCGCGGACAGGCTGGTGGACACCTTGAGGGGCAGCATCTCGCCGCTGGGCTGCGGGGCCAGAGCTCCACAGCTGCGCACCTGGGGGAAGCGAACAGGAAGGGGCCCTGGGACACACAAACAAACAAACACACACACACACACACACACACACACACACACACACACACACACACACACACACACACACACACACACACACACACACACACACACACAAATGACAGGATTCCCAATATTTTCTTATATTTTCTCGGTTTCTGTCTCCCCCCCCACCACTATCCATGTTTTCCTACATTTTCCTGGGAATCGACGATTCATTGCGCCTGTGTGTTCTTTCCCTCCTGAGAACAATGACGTGAACATAAAAACTCGGAGGTCCGCGCGGACTTCTCGGACCGGCGCTGGCGCCCCCCCCCCCCCCCCCCCCCCCCCGACGGCGCCTCTGGCGCCGCCCCTGGCGCGCTCCGCGCGCCAGGGAGGGGGGTCCAGCGCCGGTCCGAGAAATCCGCGCGGACCTCCGAGTTTTTGTTCATGTCATTGTTCGTTCCCCTAGCACCCTCTTGGTCATGCCCTGGACGTTCCACCCTGGGGGCGCGAGCTCCACAGAGGGCGGCGACGCTGGCGTGAACAGTGCGCCCATGCTGCCGATGGCCCTCAGGGCTTCTGCGAGGTTGGCCTGCCACTCGATGCTCGCGCACGAGTCTCCCAAGTCTGCCGCCGCATCCAGATTGTCAAAATCCTCCCTTAGTAGGCTCGGTAGATTGATACGGCTTCTCAGGAAGAGTATCTCGATGTCAGTTCCACGGGCGAGGACCTTGTTCACAAAATCCATGACTCTCCATCTGGCTACCATCGTCGACGTCAGCTGCGAACGCTTCTTCTCGAAGGCGAGCCGGTGCCACACGCTGAAGGAATCAATCTCCTGGTGGATCGACTCGCGCCGCTCCTGGATGCAATGTTTGACCTCGTCCTTGATCTGCTCCAGGTTTTCCCGGGATCGTTCCAGCTCCGCGTCGAGGTTTTTCAGCAGCCTGGTGAACGAGAAATGTTTATCCTGCAGCAGGGCTCGAGTTAAACAGTGTTTTCCGTTTCCGTTTCCGTTTTGTTTTCGTCATCCCTAGTTCTGTCTTCGTTCCACATTTGCTGCAAAACGAAAACGGTCCACGAAATTGCCAAAACACCGTTTAGCTCGAGCCCTGTCCTGCAGCCGCCTGGCGAGCCCTCGGAGCTCCTGGATCATCAGGCAGATGGCCTGGCGCTCCTTGTCCACGAGGCCTGATCGGCGGAGAGCCCCAGGGGAGGAGGAGGAGGAGGAGGAGGAGGAGGAGGAGGAGGAGGAGGAGGAGGAGGAGGAGGAGGAGGAAGAGGGGAAGGAGGAGGAGGATGCAGGAGGAGGAGGAGGATGCAGGAGGAGGAGGATGCAGGATGAGGATGAGGAGGAGGATGCAGGAGGATGCAGGAGGAGGAGGATGCAGGAGGAGGAGGAGGAGGAGGATGCAGGAGGATGCAGGAGGAGGATGCAGGAGGAGGATGCAGGAGGAGGAGGAGGAGGAGGAGAGCCCAGAGGGGGGGGCAGGCCTCCCCAGAGACGGGCGCGGCTCCTCGGAAGCCCTCGCGCCTTCTGTGAAGCCCCTGTCTTCGAAGAAGGCTTCGGTCGGGCGTGTCCCCCGACAGGCGGATCCTGGACGAAAAAATACAAAAAAACGGACAACAAGCACAGCAAGAGCGGTGAAGCACACTGCGAGCATAGTTTCCAGGCTTTTTTGGACTATTTTGGCAGATGTTCCTGCCTCCGGTAAAGGGACATGCCCGACTTACGAGAAGGCTCGGGAAACGTCTCACAAAAGTGAAGGGGCCCACAAACACACAAATAAATACACACAGAAAAAATAGCAGAAATTCCCATATTTTCTGGGTTTCTGTCTTCTCCCCCACTTCCCATATTTTCCAATATTTTCCTGGGAGTCGACGATTACTTGTGTCTGTGTGTGTGTGTGTTTCTTTCCCTCCTGGAGAAGGCCGGAGGCCCTCCGAGCCCTCCGAGCGAAGGCCCGCCCCCTCCCGGGCTCTTCCCTGGGCCCGCCGCCGACCCGACGCGGGCAGCTGGTAGCTGTGGCTCTCGTGGTCGGCCAGGACGCACTCGCGGCAGCACATGACACTGCAGTCCTGAGGGGGGCAGAAGAGGAGGCGGAGGAAGAGGAGGAGGAGGGGAAGGCGGCGGAGGAGGAGGAGGAGGCGGCGGAGGAGGAGGAGGAGGAGGAGGAGGCGGAGGAGGAGGAAGATGCGGAGGAGGAGGAGGAGGAGGAGGGGGAGGACATGGGGGGGCAGGAGAAGGAGGAGCAGGAGGTGGGGACTGTCGCATGCAGGGGCAGCCCAACTTCGCGCTTCGCGCCGCGCGGAGGGCGGAGCGCGAGCAACTTCGCGCCCTCGAGGGCGCCTCCCAGGGGAGAAGGGGAGGATGAGGAGGAGTCGGGGCCGAACCGCGAAGCGCGAATCACTTCGCGCCCGCGAGGGCGCCCTTGCATATGGAGGGGGAGACACCGACCCGGAATCGGCGGTACGTCGCCGACCGATCGGCGACAGGACCCCGATGGCGAGTCCTCGCGTTCCAGGGCGGGGTGGCGCTATCAGACCCGTGTCGGCGAGGAATGGGCGATTGGGCTTCGATGCACCCCCTTCTGCCGATCCCCCTCCCGTATCGTTGCCCCTGAGATCCAAGCAGAAGAACTCGTAGGGCAGGTTCCGGTGGACGCGGCAGGAGGCCGCCCGGTGCATCTTGCTCGCCTGTTGCTCCCGCAGGGTGACGAGGGAGTGCATGGTCGTGGACTTCGCGCGCTTGTGGTGCTCGCTGCACTCATTGCACAGGCTGCGGACGCACTGCTCGCAGTAGTAGACGGCATCGGCGCTCTCCACGCACTCCTCGCATGCGATCCTCTTCTGCTGCTCGCAGGCGAGGTGGTCGATGCCCTGGTGCTCGGCGAAGTTGCACACGTACTTGTCGTAGTTGCGCTCGAGGGTGATGGCGTCGCAGATCGGGCACAGTATCTCCCTGCCGTAGTGGAGGTACTCCTCCAGGCACCCCCCACAAACGGAGTGGAGGCAGTGCAGGACTTTGATCTCGCATCTGCCTCGAACACAAAACTAGCCGACTGAACATACACTTGTGGAGCTGCGCGCGGACTGCTCGGATCAACGCCGGACCCCCTCCCTGGCGCGCTCCGCGCGACAGAGGCGCCGGCGGAGGGGGGAACGACGCCGATCCAAAAAATCCGCGCGGAGCCCCGACAGCTGATGCCTCTGCAGCTTCTTCGCCCTCGACTGCCGGACTTCGTGGGCCGCGAGCTCGCGCTCTGCGACTTGCACAGCACGCACGTGGAGGTCGCCTGCAGATCCTGCACGCCCAGCTCCTGCCGCATGTACAGCCCGAGGTCCTTTGGAGCAGGGAGCGGCCGCCTTGGCAGCCCTGCGTGCCTGCCAAGACATGTCCTCCGAACCCAACAGTGCACAATCACAAACGCCATGCCCCGATAGCACGGGGCCGATGCATGAAAACAGCACGGCCTCGGCCAGAAATGCTCTGACAGCATCTCGCGCAAACCACAAAAGGCTCCTGGGACAATTTTTGGTTGGCCCGTAGGCAGGCCGGGACGCTTCGCCACTGCTTGAATCCTCCTCGAACCCGGGCGGCGGCGGCACCGGCGCCAGCGCCGGCGCCGCGGCGCTCGACGACGCCATGGCTCCGGGCTCTACTGACCCAGGTCAATCCAAATCCTGGTCAGTCAGGCTTTGCAGGATCCTGCAGGCTCCTGCGTAGGATCCTGCGCGCTAGCCCAGGTCAGAGCACCCCTGACTCTGCAGGATCCTGCAAGATCGGGCGCTCTGGCTGACCCCTCGTTTGCACTGACCCCCGTCTCAAGGCTCCCGAGTGGGGGGAGGGGGATAGGAAGGAGGAGGGGGAGGAGGAGAAGGAGGAGGAGGAGGAGGAGGAGGAGGAGGAGAAGGAGGAGGAGGAGGAGGAGGCGGAGGAGGAGGCGGAGGAGGAGGCGGAGGGGGAGGCGGAGAGGCGGAGGAGGCGGAGGAGGCGGAGGAGGAGGCGGAGGCGGCGGAGGCGGGGCCAGCCGGGCGGAGATTGGGCGGGGGCGAGGGGGGGGGGGGGGGCCAGAGTCCTGGAGGCCCGCGCGACGGCGCGCCCGCCCGGCTCCCGCGGAGGGGGGGGGGGCACTCTGCCTCTGCCCTTCCTCTCCCGCGCTCCCGTATCCGCAATGTCCCTCTTTCGCTCTCTCGCCCTCGCTCTCCCAGCTCCCTCTCTCCCTCCCCGCCTGCTGCTCTTTGTGTTGTTATATCTCTTCTCTCTCTCTCTCTCTCTCTGTCTCTCTCTGAACCTCGCCCTCCCCTCCTACTCTTTCTCACGCTCTCTCTATTTCTCTTTCTCTTTCTCTTTTGTTTTTTTTTTTTTTCTCTCTCTCTCTCTCTCTCTCTCTCCCTCTCGCTCTCTCCAAGCCTCATCCAGCGTCTTCTCCTTCCCTCCCTCCCTCCCTGTGCGGTCGTGTCTCGCTCCTCGTCTGTCGGTCTGTCCGCCTGCGTCTGCCCTTCTCCCGCTCTCTCTCTCTCTCTGTCCCATATCTGCTGGGGACAGCTCTGAGCTCGTGTGGAAGCTGCCCCGTCCATGGTTGCATGAGTGGTGCAAGATCAGAGGCGGCAACCTCAGTAAGCACAGCGTCGCTGAGACCGAGAACAAAAGCGGAGAAACATCGGAACGGCATCTGCGTACGCCATTGCTTAGAGCGGAATGGAAACACAAGACGATCCAACAAGTCGTGTCAGATCACTTTTTCGTCTGCCTTTGCTGGACATCGACTGGCCCGACCATCTGCTGTCCGGCAGATGTTGTTTGTCATGTTCGCAGCAACCTGGGCGAGATCCTGCAAGGATTGCAACTGCACGAAGACTCTCAGAGCATCCACCGAGCCGGAAGTGATCGGGGAAACGTGCCCTGCGATGCAAATTGCTTTTGCCGGGGATGGCTGGTGCAAAGGTCCCCGCAGGGACCGTGATGTGATCACGAGCGGTGGGGCCGCGAGGGTTCGAGAGCAAACCCCTGGCTTGCGTCGAACAGCGGCGGCATCACCAGTTGGCGGTGCACACGCGGACGTGGCAGGCACAACAGCAGCGTCATGTGTTCTGAACTGTGACATATCAAGCGGGGCACGCGGGGCATCAGGGCTGCAACCCTCAGCGAGTGTCTTGCTGAACGGCCACGCCGTCGCCAAACACCCAGGGCTCGGGTGCTGTGGCCTGCGACCCGACCGTGTTTTCACATGCCAAGGCTACCAGATAGCCTTGCCCCACCGACAGTGCTGGCGGTAGGACGTAATCGCCCAAACACGGAAGCCAGGTAATTGGACAGTCTTCGAGACGCCGGCTCCTCTTCAGCCTCGACAGCACACAGCACCCAAGCCTGGACGAGACCAGGACATGAATCGGAGGTAGAGGGTTAGGTCAAAATGAAACGGAAACCAACCACCGGGAAATCGACGTCGGTTTCGTGTCGTGCATGCGGGCGGGCGAGCGGAAGGAACTCGCCGCTGCTAGGGCGAAACGGGGCCAAACTGTTGCTCCCCCCCTGGTTGGCCAGCGGTGGCTCGGGGGGGTCACGATGGTGTCCTGATGGGGTCCACATGCTGCCCCGATGGTGTCCACATGGTGTCCTAATGGTGTCCCGACGGTGTCCGACGGTGCTCTGTTGGTGTCCCGATGGTGTTCCGATGGTGTCCCGATGGTGCCCTGGTGGAGTTCTCATGGTGTCCAGGTGGTGTTATCATGGTGTTCCGATGGTGTCGCGATGGTGTTCCGCTGGTGTCACCGGCATCGCCATCATGCATCGTCACGAGCGCGCGGACGCATCACCAGCATCGCCACCATAACTACCATCGCAGGCGTCAGCAGTTGGTTATCACCCGAAGGGTGATCGTGTAGGTATTCAACTCTATTCGTCTACGGGGATTCTGGTGAGCGGCAGACAGGCATTTAACCGCATGCACCACGACAAACGTTTGCGCATGGCACACGAGCGGTGCTGCGATTGGTGATCAGAAGTTGCGGCGCCGACTGTGGCTGACAAAGTGCACTGGCGGAAGCGAGCGAGGCTCGTCGCACCGAACATTCGGCTGACAATGCCTCTGACCACTCCATTTGCAACGTGATGGGGGGACAAAGACGGTTTACTTGACACCCGCCGCAAAAGAACGCATGGACTTGAGAAACAAAGGTGGGGTTCTCAAATTGGCTGTCACCCAAATCGATGTGATGTTCACTGTAGCTGCGACGCTTCCGTTACGACGGCCCCTCCCAGATGTTCACGGAAATGTAGAGTTTTCTGAAGGACCTGGCGCGGGCAACGCATCCGTGCCGAGGTGCCTGTTACTCCATTGCTTTCCAGGCCCACGCTAGCAACATGACCTGCGCACTGCATCGAAACTGTATATTCACCCCGCAGTCGCGGATAAGAGTGAGGGGGTGGCGGGGGCGTCTGCAGTCTGCGAAGCTCTGAGGAAGACCGCCACAGGCGCCTACCAATTTTTACAAATTTTACAATTATGCAACGAGCCCGCCGCAGGCGCCTAATTTTCGTTAAAGCAACATGGGTGGGTCGCGGGGTGGGTCGCGGGTGGGTGGCGGGTGGGTCGCGGGTGGGTGGCGGGTGGGTCGCGGGCGAGTCGCGGGCCGGGTCGCGGTTGGGTCGCGGGTGGGTCGCGGGTGGGTCGCGGCTGGGTCGCGGGCGGGTCGCGGGGTGGATCGCGGGGTGGGTCGCGGGTGGGTCGCGGGTGGGTCGGTGGGTCGCGGGCGGGTCGCGGTTGGGTCGCGGGGTGGGTCGCGGGCGGGTCGCGGGCTGGGTCGCGGGGGGATCGACGCCAAACAACAACAACAACAACAACAACAACAACAACAATCATTTTACCCGAACGCTCAGTGTTCTCACCAGTGCCAGGGTTTTCATGCGACGCGAGACAATACCCCCCCTTCGTGGGGGGGCAGTTCAAGCTCTACCAAATATCCAAACGACTCTTCGCGACCACCCAAACCCAGCTTCCCGCCCTATGACGTTGGGACACTTCACTTCGTGGCGTGCGGACGACCGTGGCTACTACACTGGCGTGGGGTACACACCCACAGAACTTGGTCACTTATTCGGGGCGCGCGTGTGCCCAGCATCCTGCAATTGAGACATACAATACATGACACAGACAGACAGAGAGAGAGACAGAGAGCAGACAGAGAGAGAGACAGAGAGAGCGGAGTTGGTCACATTTTTGGGGCAAGTTCCTGAGATCGTCGTGTTTTTTGTTGGTCTTGCGCGCGCGAATGTCCACTTTACTTTTTTTTTGCAAGGGAGTATTGAAATTTGATTATGTTAGAACAAGAAAAAGTAGCTCGCGCGAGCTCATGTAACATAAATGTTGAAAAACCATTGGTTTTGTGGGAGTCGGACAGCGCGCGCGGGATGAAATTTGGACATTTTTTTTTGAAAAACCATTGGGTTTTTGATGTTTTTATGTTGAAATCGTTACGAAACCTAAGGTTCTGGAAGGATTTCGTCTTGCGCGCGCGAATGTCCACTTTACCTTATTTTTTGCAAGGGATTATTGAAATTTGATTATGTTAGAACAAGAAAAAGTAGCTCGCGCGAGCTCATGTAACATAAATGTTGAAAAACCATTGGTTTTGTGGGATTCGGACAGCGCGCGCGGAAGGACATTTTGACAATTTTTTCTTAAAAAACCATTGGGTTTTTGATGTTTTTATGTTAAAATCGTTACGAAACCTAAGGTTTTGGAAGGATTTCGTCTTGCGCGCACGAATGTCCACTTTACCTTATTTTTTGCAAGGGATTCTTGCAATTTGATCAAGTAAGAACAAGAATTTTCATTTTATAGTGTTTTTTGCAAGGGAAAACGGATTACAACAAAACAACCGGATCCGGACACAATCCACTTTTCTGAAGCTTTCGCTAGAAAATGAAGGAAATGAGGCTGCGGCCTAGGTTTTGGAGGGGGGTCGCGCACCAGGGGTCTCAACAATAATATTTCTTTAGAAGTAATAATGTTCAACAACAACAACAACAACAACACCAAACCAACAAACGAACAAACAGAACGAACACCATCGCGCGCGATTCGCGCGCGCTCTTCTGGCGCAGGTCGGGGGGGGGGCGATGGACAAGCTTGGACAGCGCTAGCATGCACAAGCGCGTGACATGGTCAAACCCATCCTCACCTCAATCCTCATTCCCGTCCTAATCCTCGTACTCCTGATAACCGGACTCATCGTCATCATAACAGACGTCAGGATCATACTCGTCATCACCGTCAACAATACCAGCAACATCATGGAGGGCATCATTGGTCCAATGCTGCGT